GAGCTAGCTCCCAACCAGTTGGATTCAGTCACGTGTCCACTTGGGGACAGAGTAGGTATCAGAGTGGGGGCAGGGGTTCTCCCCCAGCTGTGTTGAGACAGATAAGGCTATGGGTTCTGAGACTTGTGTACAGAGGCCTGGTGGTGGAGGATTACAAACCAGAAATCCAATAGTCCTCAACCCACCAGCCAAGGCTGGAGCCCTCTGAACAAAGGATATAATCCCACATGGGAACTCTTTGTCAAGCTTTCAAGATGGAAAAGGAGCAGATTAGCAGAGGAGGGACAGAAGCAAGCCACACTAAGCCGGATACATACAGGAACTGAGGACCAAAAGCTGAATTGAATGCCTGAGCCCCACCACCCTTGCCTGTGCCCCACTCACTCTAGTCCCTAGCAGTGATTCTCAACTTCCTAATGTCGCCACCCTTTAATACAGTTCCTCGTGTTGTGGTGACCCCAACCATAAAATCGTTTTCATTGCTATAGCATAACTGTGCTGTTACGAATCATAAAGATCTGATATGCAGGATGCATTTTCATCCTTACAAATTGAACATAATTAAGCATAGTGATTAATCACAAAACATTATGTAGTTATATATTGACATTTGTGTTTTCTGATGGTCTTATGCAACCCCTGTGAAAGGGTTGGTCGACCCCCAAAAGGGGTGAGACCCACAGGTTGAGAGCCCCTGCCCTAGAGCCACAAGCTAACACGTTCACTGAACCCAACCACTTGTGGTGATAAATTATAGCAACACTGAAAAACAAGGTGACACGGGTGAGAGTAGACAGGTCAGAACTCCGTGTTGAGAAGAGAGGGTGCTGCTGACACTCAGAGCTAACAAACCCTAACAACTTCTGTCAGCTGGGACAGGCTAGCTTAGACACAACCAAAGCTCATCAGATTTGCATGAGCTCTGCCTGCACACCACTCCTAGGTCTCCCCACGCATCCCCGAGGGGGAAGGCGATTTACTGAATACGTTACCTCTCCAAGCCATTGACAGCACTACTGCCAACCTTCACAAGCACTCTTTTTGAGTGAAAGTGTTCTCACTTTAAAAAGGCAGCTCTATGACAAAGGATTACCCCACGGGGCAGGGCATCCTCCTCTGGAAAGGGACGGGATTCCTTTTTAGACAGAGCCCTTGAGTACACTGGATGTTCCAGCCCTGGCTCAAGAGCAGCTTGGGCAGGCACTGCACTTAGCCCATGCAGGTGCTACCATGGGAGTTCCCATGCTTTATAACACGTGCCAGACAAACGTCTCAGCCTAACTACACTGATCACGGGTGTCTGCTACCTGCCTGCTTCCCCCAGCACAGCTCCTTCCAGGGCCGAGCTGCACGAAGACAGCCTTTCCCCGACCTTCCAGGCCAGACACGCCCCTCCTCACACACCCTAAGACTCTCCTGTCCCTCCGTCAAGGCCACAGAAGATAGATGGGGAAGCCAGAAGCCCATTCGGCGTTTTATTTGTTTCGATGCATTACATCCCTAGAAAAAGAAGCCCAGGATTTTCCCTCCCGTGTGTTTTCGCCTGGCCTCCTCGTGGTCCATGATGCCGGCGGAGGTCGTCAGCACGATGAAACTGGAGAAGAGGGAAAAACAGTAACATGAACCTTAGTTCTTCCTAAAGTTCGGCACAAACATGCACTGCAGGTTTAATCCCAGCCTCCCCTCCCCACAGAGTGTACCAGACAGCCGTCGCCCCCCACTGGAGTATCAGGGCTGACCTGAAACCAAAAGCAGGGGCCCTAGCTCTGACCCAGCAGGAGCACCGTCCTTGCACATATAGCCACGGGCAAGCCATTTGTCTAGACAATTCTTTAGTACAGTGGGTCCAGGAAGGGATGCAGGCACAGGGAGGGATGGCACCAAACACATATACTGAGAAGGGCATGCAGGAGGAACAAAAGGGGGTCTCAGTTCCTCCTTGCCTCCCAGACCCTAACTCTAACCCGTGAAAGGTAAAAAGAGAACTGCCACGGCTTTGAAAACCACCAGAACCCCCACTCCAGTCCAAGAGCCTCCCTTCGGGCTTGGTCGAGGAGCACCCTGGAATCTTACCCGAACTGCCGGGAGGGGAGCAGGTTGTTCTGCCACTTCTCTAGATCTTTGAGCTGCACGTCGAATCTCGGGCTGATCACTCCGCACTGAGAAAGGCAACAAAAGCAGGATTTGCACGGCAACAGTAAACTGGATCGAAGACAGCACTGCTCTTTAAGACTGTGTGTGACTGAGATGACATTCAACACACCCACCTCAATCCCCTTCAGATCCCGTTTCTCCTCCTCCTCTTCTAAACCCACCACCCCTGGTAAATGCTGCCCTCTCCATCTTTAGTGGGAGATTAGTCTAAGACAGGCACGAGGCAAATTCCAGTCACACACACCATTAAACCTATTCTGTTCACAACATTTTTTTTTTGTCAAGACTGACCCTGCCTATAAGGCTGGCTGTCTATAGGGTAAAGACATGAAATGAGCTAACGGAACTGTCAGCGGAAAAAAGGTCGGTCGTGAGGTGGAGCCTGGAGGCTCCTCAAAAAGCCCAAGCCAGGACTGCAGAGGGAAGCCGCCCCAGTGTTCACCGCTGCACTGTCCACAACAGCTGCCCTGGACGCCCATGCTTTGTGACAAATGTCTCTGAGCAGCTCAAAGTTCATCCATGGGGGTGGGGGTTCTTTCTGGCTGTGGATGCACTCACTGCACTTATCCATCCGGTGTGGACGCAGGGCATGCCGGGGTGGTCCCTGTGAACCGCTCCCAGGACACGAATGGCTAAGATATTGACACAGGCATACAACGGAGCACGAGCTCCCAGCCACATGGGCGTGCGCGCCAGCCACAGAAGGACTCAACCTGGGCGGCCTCGTTTATATGGAAAAGCCAAGGCAGAAGCCAAAAAGGATTATATTTCACTGCAGCAGTAGTACAGAAGCTACCTGTCACGCCAGCAGCGCCCACCATGGCGGCCTAGAGTTGGTCCAGGTTATGACAAGATTAGAAGACCAGGAGACTTAAGTGATCATTAAGATAGTCACCCCTTTTCCAATAAGGCTGCAATTAACTTGTAGAGTCTCAGAGGGTGAGACTATGAAGTACCCATCAAAGAGTGCCACCCTGTAGAGGTCACTGCTTGCTCGTGTGCCTCAGTCACATGTAAACCCGAAACCACAGGACAGGGTCAAGCACTCACCAGTTTAACATAGCGGGCCCTGTGATTTTTGCCCCAGGCTTTCTACCAGGATCTGGGATCAAGTCTCTCTGGGACCAGTGAGCATTACTGCTCTGTGACTACCTGATGCAGTCTGGCCTACTCTCCCACTGTTCCCACACAAGTGAGAACCCAATGCCTGCCACCAAGGTGACAACGGCCCAGGACAGAGACATCAGGCACGGGCCCACAGTCCTCCCAGCCCCCTAACCAGGACCATCATGAAAAAGCACCACAGTGCAAGTCTGGACCATTTGCAAATCAGCAAAGCTAATGTTACATGCTCTCCTAGGCAACCAAGCCACTGAAGCTGAAAGAGGGGCCATGAGAAAGACCAGCCACCCCAGGCTGGCAAGCCAAGCAGACCCTCCACATGCCACTGCAGCCAAGGACAACCTCACCCCAGCAGTTCTAATACACCAGCTGCTCAAGGGAGTAAGAGGGTCTCTACTTAAGAAACAGTCTCAGAAACCCACAGGGGGGTTCAACCTTGTCCTACAGAATCATGGTGTGTCTGAATTGATGGGAGTATGGGTTTGAGCCATCGAATGATTCTGACTCACAGGAAAAAGTTAAACCTTTTCTCAAACTACCAAGGCTGAATTCCAAAGCCGGGGTGGTGGTGGTGTCTTTTAAAAGGAAAAACTCATTTGGCTGGTAGGATTAAGCCAATGTGATGAGATAACCTTGGGGCTGCTTGCTAGCCAAATGGTTAAACCAACCAGCTGCTACCACGAACAAGGACGAAGAGAGGCGAGGCTATCTGCTCCCATAACCCCCAGACAGGACTCCATGGTGCAGTGGTTCCGCAGCTCACAAGTGTCCTGATCAGAGCTGCTCTCCAACCACACTTCTGCCTGTCCCAGGCGCTCGCTGCACAGCCCGTCTCATTTGCCTTTCCCATCACCCACCACCACTTCCACAAGGGTGCCACCATCCATTTCTTACACGAGGCAATCCGAAGCACTTCCCTGTACATGAAGAAACAAACGTGAAGAGATTTTCAACTTCCTTCGCTAAATTTTCCCCAAAATACCTTTGTACTACAGAACAAAGGCACAAAAGGTCTCATTCAGAAAAGCTGATAGTCTTATAAGGACTCCTGGTGACAAGGTGGTTCGACTGCCAACCAGAAAGAGGCAGCAGCCAGAACTCACCGCCCACTTCAAGGGAGAAAGGGCTTCTGTAAGCCTAGAGCTTGGAACCTCTATGGGACAGCAGTTCAGATCTCCAACAGGGTCAGCGTTGGCTCACAAAAAGCCTGGCTCCCTTTAATCAGTTAAGAAGACCCTAAGAAGCAGCAGCAACACTGTGCTGCACGTGCCCCATGAGTTAGTTGCCACTGACTGGAGAGCACCAGGTGTCATCTGTGTTACAATCAGAGCCCGTGGACACATTCTGTACCCTTCAAAATCCGAACCCTGGCACATACCCCCTCCTTTCACTTTACGCATTTAAGGAGCAGAGTGAGAAAGAAAAGCGAAATTCAAACATCACTTTGCAGTTCACCTAGCAAAGCTCAAAGGCTTCATAGCCAGAAGATTTTAGTCTAGCATTTTCTCCAGCAGTGAGTACAACACCATGAACCTCTGGGACAAGTACAACATTGCCACTAAAACGGACCTCTCCCCGCCAGACTCCTTGCAAATCTGCAAACTGAAACCAAACCAGGAAGCAGGGGCAGTAGTACCTGGAGATACCAGCAGCAGTCATGCCTACCCTTTTTGATTTACAGCCAGTACTTAAAACAATGCGCTGCCAGAGATTCTGGCTACACCAAAGTTCACCCACTGCCATCAAACTGATTCCAACTCACAGTTCTCTATAGGACAGAGAAGAACTGCCCCATGGGTCTAAACGGTTTACAGTAAGTAGATCTGTTTATAACAGTGACACAGCAAACGGAAAGGAAAGGCAGATACAGACCCTGCAACCAGCAAAAACACAAGTACTAAGACAGTGGTTCTCAACTTCCCTAATGACGCAACCCTTTCATACAGTTCCTCATGTGGTGGTGACCCCCAATCATAAAAATATTTTTGTTGCTACTTCCTAACTATAATTTTGCTGTTATGAATCATAATGTAAATATCTGATATGCAGGATGTATTTTTACTTTTACAAATTGAACATAATTAAAGCACAGTGATTAATCATAAAACAGTATGTAGTTATATATTGTGACATATTTACGTGTTTCCTGATGGTCTTAGGCGACCCCTGTGAAAGGGTTGTCCGACGCCCAAGAGGCATGACACACAGGTTGAGAAGCACTGTACTAAGAGCTTGTTTTGCAACACCCAACCACTTAGCAGGAAAGGACCAAGTTGTGTGCATTAAGGGCTGCCTAGGTACATGCCAGTAAGGGAGGGTTAGCAGTCCAGATTCAGCACCGGGGGAAGCTTCAAACCACCATCCTCCATCTAGCCCAGGATAGCTTTTATCCTACAAATACTCAGGCCAACGAATACCAGACCAAGTCAGCACGCACCACCGGCACCGCGGTATTCACAAAGGCCTGTGTAAGGCAACCCGCTCTTACCTTGTTTAATCTGCCCGTGAGGTTCACTACAATTTTCCCAGCTCTGTGGTCATCAATGATTTCAAATTCACCAATGTACCCTAGAGAATACAAATGACATCATTCCGACAAACTGTACTCTAAGTTCTCTCAGGGTCTCTGCTGTTTGCCCAATGGATTCTTTTCCCTCCGTTCGGGGAGCAAAGACAACCCAGCCAGAAAACACCCAGTCCAAACCTCAGCCCCCTGTTCTAAAAGGGCATGGATTCCCCTCCAGGGGCCTTTTCAATGTTAACCCCTCAACTCCCCGCAGGTCAACAGTCAAAACCAACCTCCTACCGCCTTTCAGCATATCCTGTGCGCCCTCATCTTCCCTGCCAACCCCCAAACTGAGGACTCAAAACCTAACAATGACTGCAGTCAACACATTCACAGCCAGGGCTTACCGTGCTTCATCATCACAGTCAGAAACCGGACGATGACTTTGGAGCACGGCCTGATGAGAACCTGGCGCTTGCCTCTCTTCTCGGCATTGTTGATGCTCTTGAGAGCGTCGGCCAGGACGTTCATGCGCACCATGATGGCTGTGCAGGGGAGACAAGGCAGAGTTCCGTTCCCATGGCCAACATCTGCAGACAGTCACCCGCCTCGAGAACATCCCGGTCTTCCTAAACCTAAGCCGAGCTTGTTCTCCAGCGTCTCCCGCCACCGCCCCGCGTCTGCCACCTGGAAGCGTTCTCCATGCCGGGGCTTCAACAGTTTGACCCATTCATTCCCTCCCGCACGCATGCAGGGCATTAGCTGGGGCTTATACAAACACCCGAGCCAATAATCCGCGCGCGCCCCGCCGCCTCCTCCCCGATTTTGAACTGAATGTGGTTCTTATCAAAACAAATTACAAAGTACGGCTGTTCAGTTATTCGAAACGGGGGGATGTCGCCGCCAGTGTCTCCCAGACTTCCGAAATCCCGGAGGTCTTTCCTGCTAACACTCCAGTCACCTCCCACCAATTCGGGGTGCACCTGGCAAGACGCAGCTTCCCTGGCGCGTGGCCTCGCCCTCCCCGGCTCCTGTTGCGGCCGCACTAGAAAAGCTTAGCTGCTCTGCCCTCCCGCCGCCGGGCCGAGCTCGGGGTCCGCACGCCGTGCAGGGGCTCCTGCGGCGCCGGGCCGTGGGAGGCTCTGCTTCCCGCCGGCGCCGCCCGGGCCGGGCTCCCAAGGGTGCAGGGCATGGGGAGCCCGGGTCTGACGCTCCCCATCGGCTGTCCAGATCCCACTCGAGGCCAGGGCACCTGACCCGGGGGACCCCGGCATCGTCCCAGGACCCCGAAACAGAGACTCAGGCTACAGGATGGCGCCGATTGCCGACGGATAGTAAAGGAACCCTCTCAAGCTGATACTCACCGGCACGGAAAGATGGCGGAAAGAGGAAGGGAGGGGCAAACGCACGGGGTTATGGGAAGCAGTCCGGCTGTCGCGAGATTTCCGAAGGCGTGCTAATTTAAATTAAAAAAAGGACTGCCGAGCGAAAGGAGGCGAATAAAGAGGCGGTACAGCCTTAGACATTAATAGTAGAGAGTCGATAGAATCAATCTCCCGGGTCTGCGCCAGGTTCTGGCCGTAAAACGTGGTATAATAGGTTCGATTCCATTCTAGTGCTTCTTCTGTAAAAATAAAAATCTAACAGGTCCTAGACAGTTGCTGATTTTTGTTGTAATTAATTTTCGCCACTTAAAATATGGGCCTGGAATAGAAGCCTATACTGCATATACTATATATCTGTCTTTAGGAACTGTGTGTGACCTCCTCCCTGCGGGACAGACAACCGAAAAGTGGGTGAAGGGAGACGTCGGACAGGGCAAGATATGACAAAATACCCATTTATAAACTATCAAGGGCTGATGAGGGAGGGGGGAGGGGGGAGGGAGGGGAAAAATGAGGACCTAATGTCGGGGGTTTAAGTGGAGAGAAAATGTTTTGAGAATGATGTACAAATGTGCTTTACACAATTGATGTGTGTATGGATTGCGATAACAGTTGTATGAGCCCCTAATAAGATGTTAAAAAAAAAAAACGTGTACGTGTGTGTGCGCACGCTATATATTGAAGGCCACAACGGAGCTTTTCGGGGGACAGTCCCAATTTTTGGCGTTTTTCGAAAGAATGCACGACAAGCTAGGGAACGGTCCATTTGGTCCATATAGACGAAATTTTTAATCAAGAACACCCCCACCTGTCAATGGTGTCCCGCTTTAAATCTGGTCACCCTATGCTCAATGTACATATACACAGGCAGTTTAAAACCACCAGCTGCTCTGTGGGAGAAAGAGGAGGCTTTCTACTCCCATAAAGAGTTACACGTTGGCAAGGAGTGGAGGAGGATTTAAAGGGGAGCTGATATCAAGAAGGAAGAAAATGTTTTGAAACAGATTGAAGTAGCAATTGTACAATACTGCTTGATGTGCTTGAACTATGGAATGTGATATCTGTAAGAGCCCCCAAAACAAAGGGTTTTGGTCTGGAGAGCGGAAAAAGAAGAGTTACACTGGGAAACCCACAGGGACTCACCTACCCTGCCCTGTAGAATTGTTATTAGTCGGTTTTGACTTGATGGCAGGGAGTATATTTCTTTGTAGTTGTGGGGTACAGAGTAACGCCCTTGCATGACCTCTGTCACACAGAAAGAACAGCAATGACAATGACAATAATCAAAAACAAAAACTCACTGCCACTGGATGTTTCCAAGTCTTAGCAACCCTGTTGGACAAAGGAGGGCTGTCCCCTGGCATTTCCAAGACTGTCATACTTCGTCTCTCCTGCAGAGTGGGTTTAGACCTGCGGCCTTTCCAGGAGAAGATCATTGGGTTAGCTGCCAAATGCTGAACGGGTGAACCCCCAGGACCTTCCCTAAGCTTTGTAAGGAATTACCAAGTCATTACCACACAATCAATGCTCAATATACACGAATTCTACTCCCCTTCAATCAATTCAAACTCACGGCCACTGTGTTTCGGCCTCTGAAGTAGTTATTTTTAAAAGAAAATCATGTTACGCTTTATATATTTGTTTTCACGCATACATATAGTCTGAATGACCAGCTTACAATCCCCAGCAGTTTTTATAAGTGCTGCTTTACAAAATGGTGGTGGTGCTGTCAATGACAAGAAGTGAATGATTGGCGGGGTGGGGAATCATGGGGCTCTAAGTGAACTGTCTGCCCACTTCTCATGCAAAGGGGATCAAGAACTAAAAATTGAGAGGTCAACACTGAGACACTGACCAGAGATGAACTGAGACAAATACTGTGAGGTTAAGAGCGGCTTTATTAGTGTAGGGAAAGAGCTCCCAGAAGGGAAGGGAAAGCAGAGAAAGGTTCGGGAGCATCTTGAGCTCCCGGGCAGTTCTGAGACCCAAAGAGTTAGGTCAGGGAAATCTCGCCTGTTCGTGGGGCAGTGGGATATTTGTAGGATTTGGGTCAGGGAAATATGCAAATAAGGTGGAGAGCAGCTGGTGCTTGTGCCAATAAGAAGGAGGCTTCCTGGTGTGCAGCTGCAGTCAGAACCCTTCACAAACCAGCTTCTTGGCATGTGGGGGAAGAGGCTGCACAGTCCAGCTCTGACCTTGAGAGGCAGGGGAAAGGGGCTGTGTGGACCCTGCCCAGAGAGATAAGCTCCTTGGACTGCTGGAGGCAGGGACTGCACAGTCCGGCAGAGGCTGGGGGAAGGGGCTGCATGGTCTGGATGGGCCCAAACAAAAATATCTTAGAAACGCAACTGACACCAGTGATACACTCCCATACAAAGGCTGGTTAGGGTTGTAAACTATTAATGTGTGGTGTTCACAAGTGAGAGAATTAAAAAGAAAGCTACAATCAGGTGGCCCGTCTCACTTCTTCTTTTCGATGAAATATGATTTTTCTTCCAGTGGGACCAGGCCAATTGCTTCACATTGCTTTACTTCCTGGGTCAGTGGGTGCCTCACAACAAAGGTCTGATCACACTGATGTCTCGAGACAAGTGCTCCCTTATACTCCCAAAAGTTGTTGTAGGGGGTAAAGGTCACCAGGAAATCACCTCCTCCCCTGTGCTCCTGACTGTGGACAGAGATCTTGCATGAAGTGCTCGTTCACCCAGGTTTTCCCAGTTCCTCGTGAGGGCTCCCCTGTCTAACCAGGACTTCTATTGTACGCTTCAAAGCAGCACCAGTCTCTGACCACTGCAGGACTCTGAGTATCAAAGCCAGCGGGGCATGACTGGGGAGAGCCAGCTCCAGGGAGGAAGTGAACCAGAAGGGCATAGGCAATGGGGCTGGGGGGTGGCGGGATAGGATGCTGTTTTAGAAGGCTCCTGGGCAGCAGCAACGCTTGCTCTGACGTGGGAGCCTGAGCTTAAAAAGCTGAAGTAGTTAAATCGTTACAGCCTCCTATTTCCTCAGGGAGTAATTGGTGGGGTTTTAACCACCTACCTTGCAGTTACTAGTCCAATGCTTACAGTCCATCTCCTTGCATTGCTTGGATTCGATATCACATCCAGATCTGTTTGGCTAAGCTCCTGAGCTACAGACTGTTGGTGACCCACCCTGCTGCTCTCTGCTTGCCTTGCCTCAGGGAGGGCTCTGCTGTCTGCTTCCTTGACCTTGAACCCAACAGCCCACCTGAGTTGAAGAATGTCCACTATATTAACTGTTCCATGGAAGTGTGGACTAATTAGCTGTTATATTCCTTCTCACTGTATAAACAGATATATATGTATATGTATATATAACAAATCATAAGTGTCCTGGTTTCATTTCTCTAGAGAACCCTGCCTAACACAATTGTTCCCAGGAGTGGGGTGGGTCACCAACAGGTATTGGGGGGGAAACGTTTTGGGAGTCAACAGAATACCAGTTAAAATGCTTCAACTTAAAGATGTACTGCTGGAGACACTCACCTGTCTTGTTTATGCTAGAAATTGGGCGACAGCTACCTAGTCAATTGGAAAACGTTCAAGTACATACAAGATTCCTGATGTGTGGAAGATTTCCAAAGAAAGGTGACCCAGGGGAAAAGTGAACTGGTGAACATTACCCTTAAGTTCACATGAATGTTTGCTGAAGATCATAAAAAAAATGGTTGCAGTGATACATTGACAGGTAACTGGTGGATTCTGATGAGGATGTGGAATGGTATTGGGTGCTACCGATAAGGACAAAGGGGAGTTGTCTCCACTGAATGCCTGCACCAAACGAAAATGAGCTGTCCGTGCCACAATAAAGGGGTTGGAAAGAAATCAGGCACACACACTATCAGACACCTATGGGGAAAATGCAGAACTGAGCATGCTCAGACCCTAGTCACCTAGGCCCAGGTGGGAGCTACACGTGGGTGCAGACTAGGCACCAGCGACATGATATGACACAGGTGCGCCTAAACTCAGCCAATAAGGTCGGTCAATACCCTCAACCACGCCTGCCCAGCCAGTGGAGATGGAAGGGGGATAAAAGCAGGCCCCGGGCGGCAGACCTCCCCACCTTCTCTTTCCGGTGTGTGCTGCATGCACTGCCTGCTCTTGGCCTCTGGGATTTCCCACTCTTGGTTCCTCCTGCTTGGCTCCGCAGGCTGGTTCCACACTCCTGCCCTGGTCTTCCTTCCACGCGGTTCTCTGCTCCCCTGAAATGGCCATTTTCAGTTGCGGATTTCCCACAGCCCAGAAACCTAACACTCTCATCGACTTCAAATGGATCTTGGCCAGAAACAAATAGACATGCTTACTTTGACTACACAGTCAGCTGGCTGGTTCGTAAAAACCTATGACTTCCGTCGCCAAGAATGGGGATCCTGTAAAACTTACTTGCACGCATGCGGCATCTACCGCTAGCCCAACAGCGGTTGAGCATGCCGCACAAAGGGATGTCCTATGTTAAAGTCAGAAGTCTGTTATGGTTATATCCTTTCAGCTGACTGCCTCCATCTGTATGCCTCAGGAAGACTCCAATAAGCTGGATGATTTATATAGATCACGGGATCAGGATTTGGGGAAGACTAACCAATTGTGCTATGCAGATGACACCACCTGGCGCTGACCTAAGTACTGCGGAAACGGGAAAACCTGGAAGAGTGGATGCGGACAACTCTCAACACTATACATTAAGGAGTCTGGGACGGTCCCTCCAGAGACCTTCACATCCATAAGTTGGAGATGGGTTCCCATCCCACCCTCCTAAGTGAAGGTCATTCCCCTCCCTCCGTGTCCCCCATAATAATGCCGATTTTAGGTGCTGCTCGCAAACACGTGGTCGCTCACTGTACTCTTGAAGGTCAACTGCTTGAAGTCTATCTGCCTAAAGGTTTTCTCCCATCAAAAGCAATCAGACCATCCATCTAACCCTAAGCATGGCCCCCTCCCTTCTGATAAGGATCAGAGATTGTTCCTCTGGAGAGCTCAGACACCCGAGGTCAAGCCAACTCAGGGACAACCAAGGTTAGGTTGACATCTTCACATGTATGCCTCTAGAGCAGCAATTCTCAACCTGGGGGTTGCGACCCCTTTGGGGTTTGAATGACCCCTTCACAGGGGTGACCCGATTCATAAGTGTAGCAAAATTTCAGTTATGGAGTAGCAACTAAAATAATTTTATGGTTCGGGGTGGGGGTCACCACAACATGAGGAACTGTATGAAAGGGTCGTGTCATTAGGAAGGCTGAGAAGCACTGCTCTAGTGCCGCCCATTCCTATTGTGTGTACACCTTTAGCTCGTCCCCTCGTTACATGTATGCCTCTCATGCATGCCCCCTTCCTGTTACGTATATGCTTACCGTGACTTGCAGGCCTGAGATTTTATAAGCTCATGAGAGAATACATTACACTCTCTGCTCAGACCTGGTTCCTGAAGCCATGGCCGTAAACACCTCAAAACCTTTGTCCCTTCCATTCCTTCCTCACTCGGGTTCTGGTCAACATGCACGAGGTGAGCCCTTGCATGCTTTTCTCTTGCTTAATGTCTCTTAAATTTGACCCTCAGTTCCACAACCGCTCCCTCGGACTCATTCGGTTGTGGAGGCAGGTCCCCCTCAGAGCAGTTCCTGATGACAATGACAACAGCTCTCAGTAGGGATCACATGTGTAACAAAGAAAAACCCTCACCGCGCCGACTCCACCTTCAGACCCACAGCGCTCACCAAGAGTTAATAAATTAGACCACTGGATCGATCACATCGGACAAGTCTTCTGCGTGACCTTTCTCAAAAGCGTTAAAAAGCAAAGCTGTAACGTTGAGGCCCACGTGTGTCTGACACGAGCCGGGGCATTTTCGGATGTATTGTAGGCATGTGACATCTGGGCCGAGAATAAGTCGACCCAAGAGCTGAAGCCTTTGACTTACTGCGCTCCGGGAAACTACTGACCATACCAGGGGCTGCCAGAACGAACAACCCGTGTCTCAGCACAGCCAGAATGCTGCTCGGACGCCAGGAGGCTGGCACTTACTTGCCTGACTTCAGACATGTTTTCAGAAGAGACCAGTCAGTCCCTGAAGGGGTGTGCTTGGCAAAGGAAATCACCAGCAAAAAGACCCTCAACCCGATGACAGGCACGGTGGCTGCTCAACACTGGGCTCAGAACAGGACCCCTGTGAGGAGGGCTGGGGCTGGGCACTGTTTCATTCCGACTCAGATCCAACTCCGCCATCACAGCACACGCGCTGACACAAGACCACCAGTGGGACGCAGGAGAGATGCCAACTTTTTATTCCTCTTACACAAAACAAAGTGGAAGGAATCATACAGAACTAAGATGTAAAAGTAGTTAATCAGAACATGTACAACCTCCCCTACCTCCCCCCCCCTGCACACACACAAAAAAGATGGGAAAGACAGGCTTATTTACAACGAGGAAACACATGTAAAATTAAGGTCCTTTTCTATGAACTATTTAAAAAAAGCTGCACAGGCCCTGCAGCCTACAGTAGAAGGGGCAGAGAGACCACAACGTCCAAGTTACACAGCGTCAGTGCAATACATTCACAGAACTCTTATGACACCTAGTTAATCAGTGTTAAGAATTGTTCCCAAATCCCTCTTAACTTGTTTGGTCATCAGGGGGATCATTCCTACCGATTTCAACTACTCTATACATTCCTAGCTACTGAATTCAAAGAATGATTCCATGAGGCTTTTTAAGGAGTTAGAATCTATTTAGATCAGAGGCAAACAGTGTCATGAGCCAGCTCTAACCCACCGCCCTTGTCTTCTTCAGAGAGAAAGATCTAGGAGGAAAAAAAAGCCAGATGTCAACATAGTCCCCCTTGACCTCCTATTCCAAACTCATGGGGGAGGAGAGAGCTGACTCATCAAATGAGAGCCACGAGGCTTAAATACACATGCTGGTCCTTTGAAAACGTAGGCAAGCTATTGTCTACAGAAATGGATCTTGACTAACCGTGCACTTCTGTCCTTCATCGGCTGGTCTGGTGCGTGAAGGTCATAGACATGTGTTGGGCCCTCTTTGCACTTTAGTTTCGGTCAGCTAAAAATTGCGATGAAAACTACATAAAAAATCCGTAAGGCCATCTGTTGGAAGTCTGCCATTGATAAGGCTCTCAGGATTTCAAGTCTAAGAGGGAGGGAACAAATGCTCTCCCTCTACCAGAGAAAAAGATCAATGTTTCAACAAATTGCTAAGTTTTGCTCAAGGTACCAACAACAGATCCTAGGGGTGTAGAAATAATTTTCATTTGATCGTGTGCGGATTCTCCCTCCATGGTAAAGAATCAGAATGAGGAATGAGTCATAATTGGTCTCTTCATCAGAGGTAGCAAAATCAATGGGTCTCTAGATCTATGAAGCTAGCCGATCTTGGTAGCAGACAGCAGAACTCACCTCCTGTAGCCACAGACCAGGAGCTTGTATCAGCTCCACAAAGACGGACTTGAACAATTCCCAAGAATCACTGGAAACTACAGGGAACTAAAGGATAAAGGTCACCACTATATTACTTTAAAGGAGATTGCCCCCAAATAAGAATTCAATTGCCCACAGGTGAGGACTCTGGTGAGCTGTCCATACGTATTAGATCAAACGACGAGAGCACTCGGCTCCAGTGAACAAGAGAAACACTACACACAAAGGCTGGCTCGGCCAGGCTGGGTAAACTATCAACTAAGGGCAGAAAGAGACCACACACACGCCCGTCAGCACCCCCAAGACGCAGATGCCTCATTCGGTCTTCTTTTCTTTTTGTTTGAGAAGCTTGTTGATCTCCCTCTTGGCCATTCCAATGTACTTTGAAATGATTCCATGTTGATTCAGTCCAGGAAGCAACAGTGCGAAAGTCACTTGAACAAACAAAACGAGGTAAAAATGAAGGAGCCAGCAATGACCTCCCCGCCCCCTCTAGCTCGTTAAGACTCTAGTAATGGGAGGAATCAATAGGAACTCCATTCCTCCCATTAATATCCACCCCCACCCCCCCGAAACTTGTTATTGTATCCCTCCGCACTCACACAATACACGCCGCCTGTCTCCACCTCTTGGACCCCACTTTCTACCTCGGCTATGCGGTCTAGCTTCCTGCCAGACTAGAAACACCCTGACAACAGGGATCAGGGTCTCGGTCATCTTCCTGTGCTCCCACACACCCTAGCTCAGTGCCTTCAACTCTGTGGGCACTCACACAAGTGTTTGTGGACTCAGCTGGTAGCTGGACCGGCTGGGCCTGTTCTTCCGCACAGACTTACCAATCAGGTAGGTGAGAAAAAGGTTGTGGACTTGCTGTCCCACCCAAGCAACCGCGGCAAGAGCAATGATCATGGTCACGAAGTACTAACAACAGCAACAAAAAAGAGCGAATCAAATCGGTGGCACAGACTCGGGAGAAGAGCTATCATTTCAGGAGTTTGTTTCAAAGGTTGGCAAAGAAGCCCACTTTTAAAATACCTAACACCTAGTTATTATAGATAATCCATAGAAAACCCCATTACATACAACCTTGCAGAACTTAAGATAATGTTCCCGCCTAGAATTGTTGACTCCAATGTAGACCAAGTGACGTTTACAATGAATAATCCCCAACAGTAACCCCCTGTGACGCTGAAAGTCCACAGGCTTTCCGAGTGTGCCCTTGATTTTTATTTCTCTAAGCACACGAGAAATATTTTGTTCTGCTAGAGTAAACCTGCAAAATGAAAATTATAACTATCAGTTATTTTATCTAATACAGGAAAAGATTGAGTAAAATCAAGAGTTAAGCAGTGATAAGCCAGACTATACTAAAACTAAAGACAATTCTATTATAATGTAAAATGGACTCAATCTTCACTTTTTGATTTAGCTAACTAAACAAAATTCAAAGCAAAATAGGGGGAAAATGAGGACCTAATGTCGGGGGTTTAAGTGGAGAGAAAATGTTTTGAGAAACGATGTTCAAATGCGCTTTACAACAATTGATGTGTGTATGGATTGGGATAACAGTTGTATGAGCCCCTAATAAAATGTTAAAAAAAAAAAAAATCAAAGCAAAATAAGTACCATTTTAGGCTTTTCTTCCTTGAGCGTGAACAGGCGCTCCCACCAGCCCACGGCTCTGCGTCGGGTTTTTACTACGTTGCTGCAGATTTCATGGAACCTTTGCTGCTGCTCAGTGGTCCTGGAAAACAAGTGTCCCCTTCACTATAAACAAACAGCCATAGAAATACATCCTCCTCCTAAAGAGCGATCTTCTCAAAATGGCCTAAATGAAAATATTCTAATGGCTCACCATTAGCTCACTCGGGCACAAGGTATTACATCAGGGAGGAATATGTTTTTCCTTCAAGATGTGTTATTTTCTCTCCACGAATATTAAAGTTAAGGTACTCTATGGTTCTGAAGTCACCGTTGGTTAACGACCATCATAAACAGCTCAGTGAGCGCCGTGCAGAAGTCAATATAAATTAACGTCCTGTGGCACTGTGAGCCAAGCATTGGGCTGCTAACCCACAAGGTCAGTGGTTCAGACTCACCAGCCACTTTGCAGGAGAAAGGAGGCTGTCTGCTCATAAAGGTTTAGTCTTGGAAATTCTACTCTGTCCTGTATGTCCTACTATGTCTTTGAGTAAGAATAGATTTAATGGCAGTAGCTTGGGGTTTTATTATCTTCCAGACCCTAATGAATACTATGAGCCAGAATGCTCCTTAGATGCCAGGATGGCGAGACATTGTCTCATATACTTAGGACACGTTTATCAGGAGACACCAGTTCCTGGATGATTCCATGCTTGATAAAGTGGAGGGGCGGGGATGAAGAGGGAGACCTTGACAAGCCGGCCGGACTGACACAGTGGCCACCATCGTGGGCTCGCACAGAAGCACAACTGTGAGGAGGGCGCAGAGAGGGGCACCATTCCCTTTTGTTGCACACAGGGTTGCTACGGGAACCGACTCAATGGCACCGAATGCAGGAGTCCTTTTCAACAAAATTCTGATGAACACTTTAAGTAGCAAGAACTCACTCAGCTCACTGCCATTGACTCATTTCCTACTCATAGTCAGACTCTCCCTGTGAGGTTCTGGGACTGTGAACTCTTTATGGGAGCAGAAAGTCTTAGAGCGGCTGGCGGTTTCGAACTGCTGACTTTGTGGTTTGTAGCTCAACAAGTAACCACTCTGCCACCAAGGTTCCTTATAGAGAACTCAGGAGCAATGAAGATACAGTGCAAATTTCAAAGTCTTCATCAATTTAGTCCTGGTGAGGGGCAATGTCCCCACAAACTAAAACAGGTACTCTCAGAAACTTCTTAAATGCACACAGGTTTTCTTGCCTCCCACATTTACAAAGCAAGCAAACATTGCCTCTGTTCTCTTTGGTGCACAGTTAAATCTGAGAAATCAGGAACCTGGATAAGGAGGAAGAAAACTCAAATATTTCCCCAAAGACAAGTGGTGACCACATGCTGTCAAAGCAGAGAGACACCTGTCAGACTACGGCCACCAAGGCAGTGCCGTTGAGTTCCAGCTCCCAAAGTCCCCACCCCCGGGGTCACTCAGGAAGCCTGCCCCAGTGGACGAGGGACTTTCTCCCCTCTGGTCCACATCCTTGTAAAACTGCAGTGCCAGATCCGTGGGAGGATGCTGGGAGTCCCAGAACTTCTTGGAAAAACAGCCAGCCATACTGTGTTGCCCATGGTCAAGGTTAGATTGTGGCAATGCAACAGAGTTCTCCCTTTCCCAAGACACCAAAACAGAAAACCCAAGAGCCACTAGATCAATTGTTGAGCCTCATATTGAGTACCATGAAACAATACATGCTTGTTTCTCCCAAGTTCCGTTCCTTCAAGGAGTTATGAATTTGGCAGATCAGAATGTCACGTGGCCAGTACAATCAAGGCCAGAGGTTGAATTCCCTCCACTAGATAAATCTGTTACAGTGCATGGCCACAAACTTTTCCCCAAAACAGTACTGTAATTCATTGTTGCAGCTGAAGGGTAGCTCGTGACCCTACTTTGCTTTGGGCCCAGGCAAGACATTTTATCTTTTTTCCAGGTTGGGGTGGGGGTGGGGAGGGCGTTGCGTTTAAAAAGAAGCGCGATTATGACTTAAGAGCAAACACCTCCAAAATATATGAATTTATTCTTACGGAACCTGTGTAAGGTACACACTTAAAATTCTTATTTTCACAGAATGTCTTTTTTTTTTTCCTTTTCACAGAATTTCTTAATGGGTTGTCTGCCGAGGAACAAAAATCTAAATAAAGGCACATAGCAGAGTATCAATCAAATTACAAGAAACAAGAAACACTTGCAGCCGAGGGGAAACACCTATTCCATCACCTGTTTTTGTTCATGATTTGGCTTGATGGAGGGAATTACACCATTCCAAGAGGCATGTTTAATAAGATCGTAGAGTCAGTAATGATGTAGGGCTTCCTCAAAAGGAATGCATTCAAAGAATGGCATAAATAAAATCAACAACCCACTTGTACATATAGCTAGAGCTTATTCTGAAGTTGGCTGCTAAAAGACCAATCTTGCAATTCTAAAGCAATGGGGACCCTCAAAACACTCTAGAGAGATCTGGCAAGCCATTGTTTTTAATCTGAATTGGCGAAGAACAGGAAGCCACGAAATCTAACCACAAGGTGCCTGGTGATTCTGACAACTGTGCTATTACAGCATCCTAATCACAGCCGTTTCTCAGAGATTTCAAATTACATTTTCACCTACCATTTATTGGAGCCAAAAATTCTAGGCGCTAGAATGGGAACAAGGTAGTCAGCCAAGCACAAGAACATAACAAAACAGGAAACACCGGACAGAACGGATGGGTCTAGATAGTAGATCGTCCTGTTCAAAAGGAAAACAGAAGAAGAAAGGTTACAAACAGTCACTATTATTCCTGGCTGATGAGTCTCAACTATGCAGAGTCCGCTGGTTCTCAAGGTGTGATTGTGGACCTTCCATTCAAGTACCTCGTGTGGGGCAAGAGACCACCGCTGCAATTGCTATGCGCGTGTGCTTTTGTGTTCCCAAATTTGTTTTAGTCTAAAACATAGTAAATATCAATAGATGAACGCTCTCTGGGGGAACTGCAGAGAGTATAAAGGGTTTTAAAGCCAAAAAGTTTGAAAGCCATTGATTCAACTGCATTAAGTGACTGAGTTTACGTAAGACTGCCAGCTCGGCAAACCAGGCAGACTGCTTGAAGAAAAGCCATTCTTCAGATTATACTTTGCAAATGATTGCAGGCACTTTCAGTGGAGGCCGTGTATTACCTGAGCCCTTATTATCAGCAAGTGCAAACCACAGTAATGTAACATAGCTCACTTACAGAAATACCAAAGACACGGCACCCATGATGGCAGGGGGAAACCAGGCTCTCTCCCACCGGAGGACTTTGTCTGCCATCAGCATCACTTCTCCCCATCCGAGCAGTTGTTCTTCCAGACTGGCCGTCTCTGCAGCCTACGTGGTGGGGTCAACACATCAAGCCATGACTTTAACCAAACTCCAACCACTATCCCTATGCAGTCCTCCAGGTAGGGATGACTATGGAGCGTTTCGAATGTTAACTTTCACAGCCCCACACATCTCTTAGGCGGCCACACCCCGAGTCTTCATAACATAGGCTCCCTCTTTTCAGGTAGTCAGAACTGATCTGCAGGCTTCTGTCATTTCCCTAACTCAACCCCATACTTCTAAGTCCATTAGCCTCCCTCTGAACAGCATTCAATTTCTAAAATAGATTTTTGGTTAATGGAATCACTTAAAATGTTGGCATCATTGCACAATCACGGAAAGCCACTTTCGCCAAATGACATATGGCATTTTAAGCGCAATCTATCTCCTCCTTCATGCTGTGTTTATTAGAACATCCTGGTTAGACTTCAAAAGTCTCCGGGATGAGTTCATGGTGCAAAAAGCCCTGCAGCTGATTTTGGTAAAAGGAAACCAAGTTACAACAAATTGCCCAGGTGTCCCTAGAAATGGCTTCATTGGCAGAGGCCAGTAACAGGTGCTAATGCCCTTACACGGATCACTCAGGGGACTCGAATATCTGACTTCATATTGCACGCTTAATACACAATGACTAAACTGGGTTAAGAGCTCTGCTAAGCATTTCACATGCTCACAGTAAAATTGATCCTCCCAACCACAGCAGAAGGCTGGTGGTATTACTAGGTCTCATTTTCAGATAAACAGATCTGAACCAAGGAAATCCAAAGCCAAGGGCCCTTGCTTAGCTCACAAGCTGATCCTGATGGGCTGGTTCAATAGCGGGGCCGAGTGGCAGGTGGACTCTTAGCTCTGGACTAGGCTCTAGGTAGCCCGTTTGCGATTGACTTAATAGGAAGGGGGAGGAAGGGGGATGAGGGGGAGGACAAAGATTACGTTTTAAGGGGGCAGGCCAACCCTTTCTAAAAGCCAGGGCCGAGGGGAAAACAAAAACGTCACACGCCAACAAACTGCCCTGGGGCAGTCACTTGATTGGTTCGCACCTGGCCTCTCTCAGGTCCAAATTTAAATTCTATGGTTCCTCTTTTCCCAGCGCAGTGACCTCCCTTTCCCTAGAGTGGGGCAATGACGAAAACGCAAGGATTTCTCCCTTGCAGCTAAATTCGAGGTGCGCTCAAAACGTGCCCCTGGGATACGATCCCACTGTGGGTCCCTACGTTGTCTTAAAATTGTCTCCAGCCATAGTGTCCCCGGGGCTTTCCAAGTCCAGACAAACTCGAGGCGTGCCGATGTTCTACCGGTTGCACCTCATCACTCCCAGTGCCCTGTGGGGACCTCGCAGCCTTTGTCCCAGGTATTGGGGAACGAGAGGGAGGCACGTTCCAGCTCATCCCGGGCCCCGAGAGCCCCAGACCCAGCAGGGCCCGGCCTGCAGCCGCCGGTCCCCGCTCACATTTCCTCCCCACCCCCACCGGCTGAGCCCAAAAACCCGTCTCGTCCTGCACCTTACCTGCATCCCACAGGTAAGGATCGGAGCAATGACCGCCACCCACGAAGCCCAAGAGGCAGGCGGCGTCCCTGGGCCTGCGCGGCGGGCCCACCACGAGCGACCGGATCGAGGCCACTGCGGCGGCCCGTCTGGTCCCGCCGAGACCCAGAGGCCCTGCTCGGCTCCCTGGTGCCAGGTCGCCGGTACTCACCAGCAGGTTGGTGCTGCGATTATCGCCCTCAGCCATCGTCCCCGAGTGCCGCCTTGGCGAGCGTAGGCCGCCCACTCCACCCACCTCCCGGCCCCAAGCCCTCTAGGCAACCCCAGCGCGAGGGGAAACGGCCCGCAAGCGCTTATATCCGCTGCCTGTCTTTCCCGACAGCCTCCGCGAAGCTCGCTCCTGATTGGGCAGGTCGATCAATAGTTTAAGGGCAGTCGGACCAACCACGGCCCAGAGCATAGCTTGAAATCCAAGCCAAAGGCGAGACAGGCCCAGCCGACCGAGGAGGCGGGGACAGGGAGCAACCAATCAGCGCCCAGGGAATGTGCAACGCCCCGCCGGCGCTTGCCCAGGAGGTTGAGCAGCCTCGGCCCCGGCCTTGGTTTTGGCCGCAGTAGCAGCACTGGAGTTCTTTCTGGGGGATCCCCTTCCCCTGGGGATCAAAGCAGTTAGGGAACCTCTGGCGGCGCAGTACCGGGGGAGGCCGATGCAATTTTGTAGCTCGGGCGGCCGGCTGATCCGGATTCTCTTGCCGTCATGTGGCGGCCTGCTCAACAAAGCCGGCTCCAGTCCCCTTGCCAGGTCACTGAGCACTCCGATCTGAGTGTCCTTATCAGGAGGTTTTGAAGACAAAAGCTGTTTAAGGAGATTTTGCTGTTTTTCTCCTCGGCCCGGTTAAGGATAAGGCTTTAGTTTGGGGCTCGGGGCGGCATACATTTGAAAGATGAACTGATACTTGAAACTGGCATTTATAGGCCTTCGGGGAGGAACCTCAGTTCTGAGAAATGATTGGCTCCATCCCAAAAATGGGATGGCGTTTATATTAGAGGCGACGATATAAACCCACTTTAGGAGCATTTAGGAAATAGATGAAGTGTATTGAGACAATTTTAAGTCTTTTTCTACCCCAGGTTTCAAAATGCAACTGCGAATTCTTTTGCAAAAAAAAAAAAGGCGGCTTGGACCGATGCTTGTTTCAAGTAAGTTAACGTCCAGCCGTTATCCTTTTAGTCATCTATTTTACGTTGCCGAATTTATATTTATTTTAAGCACATTAAATAACTACCAGGTTCTCAAGAGCTGCCAAGAAAAACAAAGCCATACGAGCAAACACAGCTCAGACCACATAGGCTCCCAAGAAGCCTGGCAAGAGTGCAAGTGCTTTCATGAAAGCATTAAAGGGTATGGAATGTGCTGTGCATCTTTGGGGGGGTGGGGGGCGGGGTTGGTAAAAAGCCTTTGCAAGGAAAGGCTTCCCAATACAATTCGCTGCCTTTGGAGGAGTGCAGGGAGAAAACATAATTGTACAAGATGCAGCTGGTTGATATGACATGTTCTTTGAATGCTATCAAGCCTGAGGGACAGGGCTCCCCCACTTTCTAAAGTATCCAATCAGCAGGTGCTCTGAGTTAATAAAAGGGCCAGGCCCTGGAACACAATCACCACATGGCTCAGTAAAGCCCGTTTCCAAAGGCAAGAGCAGAATTCTGACCAGGCTTTAAAGTCTGACCTTTCTACTTCGAGAAATCAGACAGCACCCAAGTTCCCTGTGCACATCTTCAGGAGGAAGTCTTAGCGCAGTATTGGGAAAGTGACACAGCGGGGGCCAGGGGCAAAATTGAGCAACTCAAACCATAATTATCCAAGGGGTCTTGTTACTCAAGGGATGTGTTCCTAGACCGCTTTCCTAGGGACACTGCTGTACAGGCGTGCACGAAGACTCTGAATTCCTAATTATAAACAACGTCGTGCCTGGCGTGTAGTTTCATTTTTGAGCTTTGTTTTTGTGCTCTAGACAGGATGTGATCTTTTGAAAAAAATGTGCCAGGTGGCTGTGCAGTTAAACAGTGGAGTAAGGGGTACCGGTTTCCCCTACCCCACATCCAATGTCAAGTCATTTCGCCACATCCTGATTGTTGGCATGTTTAGGTCCCCAGTGAACGCTTCCCAGTCTAAAAGGACCCATCTTCCAACATTACATTGTTGTGACTCATGGAGTTTTTGGAGGTCTGGAAGCTACACAGAAACCTGTCCACTATGGGTTTAGAGAAGAATTCAGCTATTTTTCTTTACCAAAAATGAAGCAATGTCTAAATATTGCCTGGAAGTCCCAACTAGTGTGCACTGATTTGTCAGGATGAAAAGTAGTTGGGGTCATGGCTTCCCACATCACAGAGCACAGTGGCAGACTGCCAAGACTGGAGGTGGGAACAAGCCAGCACCAGCAAACGCAAATTTCAAGACGCTAAAACCTTTTAATGTGACTTTCTTCACAATCTCACACTCAAGGAAATAAGTGTCTCACATCCTCGATGCCAATAAGGGTCTATGGGAGGTAACGATAGAAAGAAGTGTTGTCAAAATTAAGCTCAATCAAGTTGCTCCTTAATGCTAGTAACATTTCCACTGCAGTTCAAATGTATTACAGAGCTTTGAATTGGGGGCACGGGAAGGAACTCATGTTCCAAAGTTAATTATTGTTTTTTGGTAGCGTCTACTTTGATCAATAAAGGCAAAGTTTAATTACAATGTTTGAGACTGAACCTTTATTTTTTGAGAAACAGGTCTTTAATACAATCTTTGTCCTATTAATGCAAATATGCACCAAGTAGGCATGTATTTTTTTTTCTCCAAAAGATGCATTATGATTATTTTCAGGAAGCTGGTGTGATTTAGTCAACTTTAAATCTTAAATACAATCACAGAATTATATCCATCAGGAGGCATTACAACCTTTTGTACAGAGAAGCCACTTCTTGTTTGCTTATACAATGTTATTAGGACAAGGAAGATTCAGTTCAACTCAATGTGCTCTTATAATTAGGGTAAAAGGGAAGTAACACGTATGGTGCCAGTGACATTACAGGTGCAAATGAAAGGGAAATTTAAACCAGAAAAATAAACAGACAGTACTTTTAAATAGTTAAAACTGTGCCAGAAAAAAGGAAAATCACTAGAACAAGATACTCAATCAGCCTGTTTTAAAATAGACACTCTGTCGATTCTGCATTTCAGTGCGACATGCAATTCCTTTAAGCTTACCATCCTAAAAATGAAGGGTCAAGTTTATGACCATTGTCTATTAATTAGCACAACAGCGTTTTCCCAGTTCAGCCAAATTCCCATGGAAAGCACGAGACTCTCAAGTGATTCATGTTGTGCAATGAACCCTGTAGCCTATAAAACTTGTCTCGAGTCCACTGCCCTTTTGTAAATAAGGAATGGTGACACTGCTGCCCAGGCCAAATCAAGCAAACAGAGAAAACTGGGTTAGACCCTCTGAGTTTGATAAAGCCATGCATTTCCCCATCCCAATGGGCGCAAAACGTACATTGAGATGCTAGTTTGTCCCAGAGGAGGAATCCAAATATTAAAAACAAAATTTCTATTTCTGAAAAGTGGCTCTTATAGGACATTCTACTTCCTTGATTTGGGAAGTGGGGGAACGGAGGGCGGGGGTGGGGGGGGTGGGGGGGGGGGGGGTGTCATCAGATGCTCCAATTCTAAATTACAGGTACTTTACACACACAGAGGGGAAGACACTGGCTCTTATCCTCCTGCCAACTTTATGGAACACAAAGACACTCTAGTATGTTAGGGAGACAGTCTCGGATGTATATGAATAGAACAGACAGGCTAATCATGACGCTTTCTTTGCTATGAAAAGACTTGGGAGAAAAGAGGAACCAGGTCCTTGGGCTTATAGTGCTGCCCAGACAAGTAAGCCCAAGAGTAATTACAAAAAATGTGGAGGAAAACAGGCCCGGAAGACCACCCATTTATACTACTTTAAAAATGACCTACGATTGCACATCAGCTCTAGTATTTGGCTGTACTTGTGTTGCCCTGCTCAGCATTTTAAAAATGGCTCTTTCCTTAAATCTCACACATCAGAACCACCACAATGGAAAAACAACAACAACAAACGAAGGCATATGATACCCAACATTGGACTGTATCAAAAGAACTACTCCTTAAGTAACAGAGGCAAGTGGGAAGGGCAGATGCGATGGCCGTAGTGACAGAAGTGTTTGTCTGCAGGACCATCTCTAGCCCTGAACCTGGGGAAGCAGATAGTGCCGGATTATCGAGTGTCACATGGAAATCTCACATAAAACAACTCACCACAAGCACTCAGACACAAAAGGACCTGCATGGTATCTACTGCCTAGCAAACCAATTGAACTCGAGACCAGACCCACCAAAGAAACAAGAAACAAAAGAAATACAGCAGCTCCAGACATGGCACTACCACCGGAGCTTTGTCAAGACACCCAGGTGAAAAGTGGGTAAGTGCAGCGAACGAACAAGAGGACACTGACGACACACTTCCATTTCTAAGGGTATTCTCAGGAGGAGGGAGAGGTTGTGTGAAGGTTAACTCTGTACCCCTGAGTCTGACAGAGAGAAAGAGGGGGAGAGAGAGAGAGGAGGTAGTGAGGAGGTGAGAAAGACAAGACCCCTGGTTCTCCACAGGTATTGTGTGTCATCAGTAATTCATGACTTCACCACTACCACACACTAACAGTACAAGGTAATTTCCCAGGAGAGCCCCGACTTCTCAGTCTGATGCTTCTCAACCTGGACCTCGGCTTTTTAAACCGCTGGTTAAACCCCAAATTGCTGAGTTCCCTTACAACAGTCCAAACTGACAAGGCCACGTGCAGTATGACAGCCGGGGCCTGGCTGTCCCAACCAGTCAGCAGCAGGCCTCGCAGTCGCCAGTTACTCCTAGCGGCCACACAAGTACACACGCGTACAGGCCACGGTCTCCTTGGAGGGACTGCTCTAAAGTAAAAGTCATGCTGAACTGACCAGAGGCCTGTGTTCTGTGAAATAAAATGGTTTTGTTTTTGCTTGGCTGAGGTGCCAGGCGCCTCTGAAACCTGACACTGCTGGCGATAAAGCTCAGAAATTTCATTTATTTTCTGAAGGGGAAGCATGGCCCGACTACTACCTAGAAGGGCACACTGTGGTGCACAAGAATCTGAATGGAACCGAGAAGACGTCCAGCCCGAGAGCAGAGGGGTCCAGGGGTGGGGGGTGCAAGAGGTCCGACAGCCTCCGGAAAACACAGCGGGCACGAAACCCACGCTGGCACTGCTGCTCCGGTGAGGTTTTGTTCGTGAAAAGGAGT